CCCGCTCCGCGCGCCCTCCCGAGTGACAGGGCGCCGCTCTGCCCGCGCCGGGCGGCGGCGGCGGCAGCATGAACATCCTGCTGGAGCTCTTCGTGGTGACCTTCAAGGTGCTGTGGGCGTTCGTGCTGGCCGCCGCCAAGTGGCTCGTGCGGCCCAAGGAGAAGAGCGTGGCGGGGCAGGTGTGCCTCATCACGGGCGCGGGCAGCGGCCTGGGCCGCCTCTTCGCCCTCGAGTTCGCGCGGCGCCGCGCGCTCCTCGTGCTCTGGGACATCAACACGCGCAGCAACGAGGAGACGGCGGGCATGGTGCGCCACATCTACCGGCAGCTCGCCGAGGCCGCCCCGCGAGGTAAGCGAGCGGCCCCTCCGCCGCAAAAAGAGGGCAAAAGCACAAAGGCTTTGGCAGCGAGAGTGCATAGACCAGTTCTTGTGTACCCTGGTGACACCAAAGTAAACACAAGCTTTTGCGCCGTGCAAGCGCGTGTGCTCTTGGCGGCTACCTGCGGGCTGGAATCCAGCTACAAACTTGATTTGCTTCCCTTTTCCTCCCTCCCTGTTTCTTCTCTGTCTCCTCTGCTAGCGGGGGACGATGGAGAGAAGGAAGCGCCGCCCCACAGCAACTTGCAGGTCTACACGTACACCTGCGACGTGGGCAAGAGGGAGAACGTCTACCTGACGGCCGAGCGCGTCCGCAAGGAGGTCGGCGAGGTCTCCGTGCTGGTGAACAACGCCGGCGTGGTCTCCGGGCACCACCTCCTCGAGTGCCCCGACGAGCTCATAGAGAGGACCATGATGGTCAACTGCCACGCGCACTTCTGGGTAAGTGTGGACTTGTTTCTTTGGGCAGCCTTCTTTCTGCCAGTTAGTTCTGGGGGAGGAAAAAAAAATGCACTTGCTTAACCCTCCTGGTCTTGGGCTTGCATTTGCTCCCTTCTATTAGCAAGCTCACAGCTTCACTGGTCTCTTCCTTTCAATACCCTGTCCTGATTAATAGGAATGATTGGCATTAAAATTATCAGTAGCTAGTTTTTATTTGGCTCTTTTCTCAAAGACTTCAGAGTATAGAATCATATGCCAGTTTGTGTAGCCCTCGGTATGAAATCCTTTGTAAGCATAACCTCTGAATCTGCTTAAAGGTTGCTACTGTTAATGAATGACTTTCCCCTCCCCTCCACCCATAGTTGTCTCTTTAGCTTTTTGCTTTAAGATCCTGTTTTAGTGATGGTTGCAGTAGTGAGCTCGCACTTCTTCAAATAACTCCTCCAAAACCCTGCTAGAGACTTTGTGAGAGCTGCCTTAGAGGTAAATTGTTCCCTCTGAGGCTTAGAGAGAAGGCAGAAAACTCAAGAAAACAAGCCAAAAAACACTTTTTCAGGAATTCTGCATATTTGCCCTTAGCTTTCTCTCTTGGGGCTACCAGTAGAAGTCAGAAAATATTTAATGTGGAATCTTGGATGATAATGTCTTTAGCTATCAGATGCTAATCAAAGAAAATAAGCTATGTGGTCTTACTCTCCTCATCTATTTAAATCTTGTTTCCCTGTATTTTATTTTTAAACTTAGTGTAGTGGAGTTATATAAACCAGAATGTCGAAGCAGGGCACGATGCACGCTGGGGTTAGCGTTAGCTGTCAGGCTGAGCCCATTGTTAGTATTAAAACTGTTCTCTGGTCCTTCAAATAAAGTTATGAAATGCACTTGCATAACAATCAAAGGATTAAGCAATCTGAAATATACTCCCACTTAAGCCTTCTTTGGCTCTTCTTATGCTTGATAATAAAAACTTTATAAAATGCCCATGCTCAAGACTTAAAAGGGCCTTCCAAACATAACTTTTTAACGTGAAGTTAGATGCTGTTTCATAACCCTAAAGGAGCCCCTTCAAATCTGCACTATGAAACACTTAGTGGCAGAGCGCTCTTTCTTCCAATGTATTGTAAAGCTCGCTGAGAGTGTGCATAAACTTTGGTGCACATGAGATTGTTGTGTTCAGAAACTTCTTTTAACTTTGCAAGTATATTAAGGTGACTTGAAAACTTCTGCGAAGTCTTGTGTGATTTCCTATAGCAACCAAAAGCTCTGCTTGTTCTGCTTTAACAGCCAGGCTGATGCTAAAACAGAGATATACACTAGCTTTAGGGACTTACTGATGTGCTATAAATGCAGAATTGACAAAGCTTCCAAGGACTCTAAATTATGACATCACTCTGAATTAAAATATGGGAGGATCCTGAATTCTCCAGCTGTTCTTCCCTCAGGCACAAATCACACATTTATAACATTGTTTCAGGGACCTTTTTAAAGCACTCTCTGTATGCCCAGTCTCTTAGAGCAGTAGGAGACTAACTTGGACTCTAATGATTGTTATGATTAGTTTTTCATTAAATTTCATTAGTCTCTAAATGTTACATTGTGAAGTGACTTCAGAGATATAATACATTATATATAATCTCCAAAAAGCTACTGTTAATCTGAACTGTGGAGCTTGAGATCTTGGCTCAAGCTTCTGAGGAGCAATCAACACCCTTTCTGTGCTCATATGTACACTTTCCACAAAGTCTGTGTCCTGCCTTGCTTTTTCTTTCTATTCATTTTTTCATGGTAGGCAAAACATTTCTTCCTTGTCTTCCCCATCCTGATCCTAGAAAAGATTGACTTGACCAAAAGTGGGTGGACTTTTAATAAAAATAATAGTACTTAATTCATAAGATACCATCTGAATCAGCTGACTCAAAGCCAGTTTTTGGGGGGTGTAAGTCAGTGCTGGCTTAAGTAGAACAATGTGTCTAGATGTGTGAAGTCTTTTACAGCTAAACTGTTCTATGTCAGCTAAACCGGTGGTCCAAAAGCAATGCTAATACTCTGGAGCATTATGTAGACTTTTAACTATTCTTGGAGGGTGTTTCATCCAAAAGAAGCTGTAAATGGATTTCATAAATACACAGATCTCCCGAGTAATACTGCTTCAGCAGTTGGGTGTCTGTGCTTTTGTTTTCTGGTGGTTTGTCATCTCTCTTCCCATCCCCCATATAACATATAACCCCCCCTTATCCTTCAAGCATTACTCATACTTAATATACTTCCATATAAACAAATAAAATGGGACTCTAGTATCATTCCCTTGAAACCTCTGGAATAGGATTGCTGGCACACTCTCTCTGCAGGATGCAGGTGAAGTGATGTTAGCAGCTACAGTGTGAAAGCTGCCCAACTCCAGCAGCACGTGGGGAAAGTCTCTCCCTGGTTTGCTGCTGGGTTCCAGCTGGGCTGTGCCCCGTGCCACAAAGTGTTTTTAAAGGGAGCTCTAGCAATGTGCCACAACCTAAACAGATGCTTTCCATTTTGCTGACATTCATGATTTATATAATCCTTTCTGTGAGTGCCCTATATAAACATGTCACCACGGCATCATGTAGCAATTTCCACAGCATAAAATGCATCGCAGTATTAAAAACCTGTTATTTCATGCTGTGATAATTTGAATGCTTCTGATATTGAAAACATAGGGACGAAATCCGTTCCCGGTTTAAAACAAGCCCGCTCTGGTTTACAGTAATTCACAGATACATAAAACTGCCTGGCTATTAATGTAACATTATCCTTTCTGCCAGACTGTCGCAAGAATAATAATTTATTTGGTTGTACTTATTGTCAGTTATTGAAACTGATCTTTTGCAAACTACTGAAGCTGTTCTTTTCTTAAGGGATGTCAGGATTTAGAATTTGAAACTATAAAGCACAGTACAAGCTTCGGCTGTCAAGCCCTCAATTCTGAGACAGGAAAACTGAGTTATTTTTACTCTTTTAGTTTTACAAGGAAGTTTAATTTCAGTATCAGTATACTGATTGAGATTACATAACTACTTTACAAAATATTAATGTACAAATCTTGCTTTGGGATTGCTTTAGATGCTTGTATCTTCTTTGCACCTGTGTGTTCTCGAAGAGTATTGTTAATACCCCCCAGCAGCAGAGTCACTGGCGCTTCCTTCTCGGCTTGCTGGTTGACTGGGCCCTGCTCTGTGGGGCTGCTCAGGGGCTGCCAACCTGGTGGGAAGGACCTCGGGTACATGAGATCTGCAGGGTCCAGCCTTGAGAGAACAGTGAAATTGCTCCTGCATTTCCTTGCTGTGTGGATCCTCTAAAACTTTTAACTTTCAGGCTCTTCCCTCTAGATGAGTTTTCCCTTCAACTTGCCAAAAGGGGGAAGCAAAAGCATTCAACTCCCTCTATGGCAGACTTCAAACATGCAGTGAAAGACCAGGGCCCAGGCTCCAAGTGCAGCTCTGCTACTCAGAGTAGCATTGTCCCATTCACCTGCAAACTGCTCAGTCTGTAGAGTTATGCATATATATTTATTTTTGCAGGACTTCAATAAAAACTTTTTAGGTGCCTTAACATTGAAATGGGGCAAGATAAACATAGAATGCTGAAGGAATTGCTGTTCAAGAAGTAAATTAGATATTTTAGGCTATATAATTGCCTAAACTTAACTATCCTGGAAAGAAAAAAAAATCTGAATGCAAGATGAATGAATTAATAAAGCAAACTTGCTTTTTGTGTGCAGTAATTGCTGTGAGTTTAGACTAAAGGGCTTGCTAAAGCCTGGGGAAGTCTTATCTATCACTACTGTGTTATACTATTGAGCTTGAAAAGACTTGTATTTGTTCAAGTTCTGCAATAGCTGTACTTTCTGTATAGTTTAAATGTGGAAAATGGCTTTTCTGGTGTAAAAGAGGGGGTCTGCACACTCAGTGCAACAACTTGGTTTCAGATCATACATTACTTATTTAATTACCAGTGAAATCTTGTGTGGACTGTTGGCACACCAGTTTGTTATGACTTTTGGCTTCATCTCTAGAATCTTAACATCTATGTTTAAGTATAGTCATGCTATTCTGTTGAGATGCCACATAAATATACCTGGCATTTTGGACAAGTGGAATTAGCTGCTTTAATTGATTGAAAATCACAATAATGTATCCTAAGTCCTGAAGTTCAGCTGCAGAGCTTAACATTCAAGTTCTTAGTGTATTATTATTATTAAAAAAAAAAAAAAACTTTTAAAAATGAATTGACTTGAGTTTAAGGTCAACCACATACATGTAATGTAGAAAGTGTCATCAAAACTAACACTTCTTTCTAAAATGCCTCCACCTAAGTGCCACCAGTAGGATAACCCTGGGCAGCACATGTATGGTCTAGCCTGCTGGACAGGGGATTTCCACAAATCCACAGAATCTGGGGGGAAGAAAAAAAAAGGTTTTTATGTGCGTGCTGGAGACGACTGACCTTTTTTGTTCAAATAGTAGTTCTATCCATGGATGGTGTCCCCCTCTTTACCTGTGACAAGAATTTGATAATTTTTGGTGGTGGTGTTTATGTTTTTTTTTTTTTTTTTTTTTTTTTTTTTTTTTTTTTGGATGCATTAACAAATCTGAAGGGACGATTCAAAATGTCTGTCCTACATGGTCTCAGATAGGGCCTAGCTTTTGCAATACTCAGACATACTTTGGAAATCAGTTTCCTGCTTCCTTTGAAAGGTGCTTGGAACTTAGCCTCTTGGCCCATTTAATAGTAATTTTTTTAAAAAATCATGTGACTCGTGGCTTGTTTGTTGCTGGCCCGTCAGTGTCCAGGACTGTATCACTACCATGTGATCAGCCAGTTATTTCCTTGTGCTACTCTGATTGAGGCTTGAAAAGTGTAGGTTAAAACAAGACTCCTTTTCACAGGAAAGCCCTGTTAGGGGAAGGGATAATTGTCTTGAGGAGAACAAACCAAGACTTCTCCAGCTGCCTGAAAATTGTTTGCAGTAT